TTTTTCAAATAGTTGTAATCGAAAAACAATCTTTCGTCCAAGGCTTTGAGAATTATATATCAATGATCTGTGTAAAATTACATGAACACCAGTTGAGTAGTTCTCGAGAAAATTTGCCAACCCACTTCAAAAACAAAGTTTCGAGAAAAATGCGTTTAAAAACGGCGCACTTGGCCTAGCTAGTCTCGAGCTTACACGTTGTCAAGGCTGTAACTGCGAAACTATTACTCGGATCCACTTGAAAATATAGGACAAGGCATTCTAGGACTGTTGTAGAATTTAAAAGACAATAAAAAAACAGGTTTTTTGAAACCCATAAACCCATGTAACCCCTTAAAGAGATTAAGTGAAATTTAAACTGTGTTAAACTCAAAAATTATGTGATGCTATCTTTCTTTAAGAGCAAATACGTAAAGTGTTTACAKAAGAAAATATACAAAAAGAAATGAAAAACGATTAAGCTATGAAACAACTTCAAAAACAAATTGGATAAGGTATCAGATTAGACTCCCACATTGAGTTCACGATTGGTTTTTGTTGACAACTGTTTATAAGGAATAAATTTGTTGGAAGCTTTAACAAAGTTTTGTAGAAAGTTTAACGAGCAAATTGCATTAAGCATATCATACGATCTTAAAAAAATGCTAAGTGAACTGCCCATTTTTAACATATGGTGAAACTAAATAGAAAATTGTAACCATATTTGTGTGTATAACAGTGCAAAAATATTTTCGAAAATAAGTTTTTCACAATTAGTGAAAATCGCTTTAAAGCGAAATTGAAATAATAATTTATAAATACAACATGCAAGCAAAATACCCTCATCAAGGYACCAATTTACGGTTTTCAGCAAAAGTCACGTTCGATTCGACTTAATCGCTAGTAGTTGCACTAGTAGCAAATTTGTACGAATATTAATTMTGTAATGAATTCAGTAGAAAATGCAATGTTATGCAATGTGTAATGCTAAAAGCGTATTTTTGTTGTGTTTTATAACAAAATGAGATATACATAAAATAGAGTGAATTAAATAGCGAATACAAGAAAAAATTAAATTAAATATTGATAAAACAATATTTAAACAATATTAAAACCCCAAAAGAATATAAAACATTGTTCATTATTAAATAAGCAACCTATATATATATATTTTTTTTATTTAAAAAATAAATGTTGACATTAAAAAAATTATTCTATTTCAATTAATTTAAACAATAAAAATTAAAACACAAACTGTAAATATCATACAGTTTTCAGTRTTATGCCGATGAGGCCTTTTTGATACTACAGACGAACAAATAACTTGATTATTCTTGCGCCAATGTGTTTATGAAATAATAAATAGTTCTTTCCTAAACTGAAAAAAGCTTGAAAATCTCAAAAATGGATTCTAATCACAAAAATCATACTTCTAAAGAAAACCCCCGTGGCTCTATGTCCTCCATTAAATCGCTAGAGGTGCCACCCACGCCAACGCGATCGCCGAAGAAGGTATCTTTCTCGGACGATTTTCCTTTTAATGAAACAAACGCCACGGCGCCGGACATTAGTACCACCACAAACGGTGCGAGTAATGACAGCAGCGAAGCCAACGATCACAATAACAGTGTATTTACAGCGCCGAGTTCGGTCACCGAAGAGGAGCTAACCGCCGTAAATCACGTGCTGTTGCAGGCGGCACAATATCTAGAACAATTACACGGCGCTCGAGATMACCAGCCAGAGCCATATAGCCCACCACTAACGAGCCACAACGAAATCAGCACAAGCAGCAAGCAAATAAATCTCAAGCAGCCACCACAGAAAGTAAAGCGACTCGCKAAAGTCGGTGGTGGCGCTGRAGCTGCTACAGTACCAAATGTAAGAGCGCAAGAAACAAATACCAGCGATGATGAATTGGGTAAAGTGGAAGTGCATAAATTACCCAACGTCAACACAACTACGCCAACAACAGCGGTAACTGCAACAACAACTACAAAACCAGCAACAGCCAACATTGTTAGCGTATCACCTGCTGTGTTTGAATTAGACAACAACATCGAACAATCGACAACATCGCAGAAAGAACAACAAAAGCACCACCAGAACCAAAAGCAAATAACCAAATCACAGTCAATAGTCTCTGCAAATACCGCACCAGCCTCCGAAGCAGCTCCGAGAAAGACATTTACCACCACCCTCAGCAACGTGCAGCTGGCGGAACCAACTACCTCGGCACAATTAGAAGAGATAAGCGAAGAGCAGTCTCACGTGGCCCGATACATTGACCGCTACAACCTCAATTTAGATAAGAATTTCAGCGCGATGGAAGTGGAGGCGAGGCGTGAAAAACTGCGCTGGCTACTAATATCCGAGTGTAGCGCGCTGCTCGCCGAGGGCAAGCACACTCGTGAGGCATTCCGGAAACTGGTGCTGGAAAAGGTGAGTTCCATGACTGATAACAGCTGAACTTTATCTAAGTTCGGCTTAAAGCAATTAATGAAATATCTGCTCTACATACTAAAGACTTCTTAGTCGGGCTTTGATTTTTATTGTTTTACTAAGTTGGGTTACTTAGTAGCCGTGTTTCGAGTTTCTTTAAAAAAAAAGACGTTGTCTATACATATATTTATGTGTAAATATGTATTTAGGAATGTAATCGTTCAAATTAGCATATATATGTACATGCGTATGCATAAATAATGTAAATTTGTGGAATGGTTTGTGTCATAAAACAACAATGAAAGAAATCGGCAAAAGGGATTCCAAAAGTAAAGCCGGTTAATGAATATTTTTGGTTAACGCTAAGCAACGGCTGCATATTTTAAAACAAGTTTCGCGCTATGGTCCATATCTGATTTTTTGTTTACTTATTTTAATCACAATCAATGTGATGACACTGAGTTTACCAATCATTAACCCTTAATAGCGAATTGAAATGCAGATGTTTAAACTACAGTTTTTATTGAACTATTCTGAATAACATAAATTTTCGATGTAGGAACGAATGTCGGCCTAAAAAATAAGTAAATTTGATAAAAACAAATATTAGCTTACAAAARGTCTGGGAAACAATTTATATCATTTGAACAATCTTCTCGAAGTGATCTTCAATACTTTTTCCACTAAATGAAAGCCAGTCAATAAAATTATTCGATTGATTAGCGATTTGCACATATTATCTCCGGTATGCAAATTCTTTTAAATATTTGCATTAATCATTGTTTGATTTCACTTGCAATAACTGTATAAGCAAATATGTAAGCGTAAAGAAGCTAAGCAGATGTTAAGTGTTCTTTAAACCTGTTGATTAGRCTTAGGGGTATGACTTTTCAGAGTAAATATAAAGAAATTAAAATGTAAAAATCAACAAATTATTTCGCAGTAAAAAAATGTCTTACATAAATTCTATATAATATTACAATTMAATAAGGAATGGATTTGAATTATGTAGTTGTCAGCAAGTAATTTTTATATATATTTAAATYTTGTGGTTTTATAGAAATCACATTTTTTGACAAAATTCCATGTTACTACTCAATCAAATTCACTGTACGGAAATTCGAAAACCACCTMCAAGTGGTTAGTTTGCCTGGCGCAAAGGTCCAAATATACATTTTCCTTTATTGACAACATTCTTTYCACCTAAAAATAGTTTTCTTTAACAAACGAAATTATTTTTTAATAAGTTTTTTTTTTTTCAAAATAAAATTCAAAAAATGTCTCAATCAATTGTTCGAAAGCTGTGGAGTAAATACTTGTTCTTTCAAGATAAGATCTAATACAAAACATATACATATAATGACTTCTAACTAGAATTTTTTTTCCAGCTATATTTCCATCTTCCAACTGGACAT